GCGCTACCGCGACCGCTGCGGCCGCCGCTGCCCCCGGACCCGCTCTGCCTGCACAACTCGTCGCTCTTCGCGCTGCAGAACCTGCAGCCCTGGGCCGAGGACAACAAGGTGGCTTCCGTGTCCGGGCTCGCCTCGGTGGTGTGAGCGACGCCTGACTGACTGACCGGCCGAGCGCTCTTTTCCGGACCGAGGCGCGGCGTGGAGCGCCGGGCCCAGGGCCTTGGAGCGCACGGCCGCCCACGTGGCGGTCCCGCGGCAGTGGAGCGTGTGAGGAGGAGCTGGCCTTGAGGCTACCGTCGAGGGCTCCTCAGCCACCGCGGGCTCCCAGGCCAGCATTGAGCCGTTACCTGGAGCGCAGAAACGCGGCCTTTCCCGCCATTTTTCACTTCCACTGTCGGCCCGGCTGCTGGAACCCGCTGAGGGGGCGGGACCTGAAGTACGGCAGCCAATGAGGTGCGGGGAGGTGGGGTAGGCTGGCCAATGGCTGCTCTCTCTCGAGGGACTCCGGCTCCTTCTGTGGGTGGGTCGGAGCTGGAGTTCGGAGGGCTGGAGCAGGTTACACGCACCGCTGGGATGGGGCGGCTGCAGCCCCCGCGGGCTGGGACTGTACCAGATCGTAAAGGAAGGAAGGAAGATGCCAACAACAGCAGAGTAATGGAGGAGGTGCTGGAGACCGACAGTCTGACTGACTGACAGGAACCAGAGAGTTATCCACGCTGGGCATCCATCCATCAACTGTTAAATAATCGCTAAGGATTCCTTCTGGACTTTGAGCCTCATGTTGTCCATGTGTGTTTAACCTGCTGACTATGTCCTCCCACTTGGGCCTAACAGTGCGCCTGGGTGGCAGGCGAGACGGATACTTAGACACCCAATGAAGAGAAAATCTAGGAACACTAATCTGGCTCTGGTGTCCCTCGGAGACAGAGAGGGAAGGCGGGGCGGAAAGCAATGGACAAAGTTAATGGGCCCAGTGGTGTTAGGGTGAGCCGAATTCGGCAAGTAATTAGGAAGTGACAGGCCTAAAAATAATCAAAGATAATTACAAGGTTGGAAATGTAAAGGATCAAGAAATCAACGATGTTGTGTATGATGAAGGGGAAATTGGGAAGATAGGATCAAGATGAACTCTGCAGGCAAAACTAAATGTTAGACCTAGAGAGTAAATTCTGGAAAAATGCCGATATCCACATAGAGGCATAGTTAGATGGAATGATGAGAACAGACAGAATGTCTAAGGGAGGAAATTCTGAGAAGAAAAGCAGAGTTCTAAGGATTAAATGTTTCTTTCCACCAATTTTTATAAACACATTTACAACATGCAAGATGATTGAGGATATCAAAGTCACTAGTCCGAGGGAAGAAAAGGGAAAGGAATAACCCAGCTGGAAAGAGAAAAGCATGATGTCCCTGGAGTTGTTAGAAAAACTTGAGCTGGTTCGGTGGGCCAGGCGCTGCCGGGAAGCCTGTTGATGGAAAGTTGAGAGGCTGGGTATAGTTGCCATAGCCCTGAGGTTTAGGAAGGAGAGGACTGAAGTTGTATGAAGACAAGAGGGAAGATTTTGTCTGCCTCCCCTGTAGGCAAGAGCAGTATGATAGAGGGGAGTGAGCTTTAGGCAGGGTCAGAGGCCAACTGTAGTCAAACTACTCATGTTCCATGTTAATGACAGCTAGGTCAGTCATAGCACAAAGGCTTAACCAGGGATGGGAACCAGGCAAGAGGACATCACTGTTGCAGTTGACCCTAAGTCTTTTGTACTGTGTCATCTCTAACTCATAGATATTATAAATGCTGCTGCAAAACCAAACTCAAGTTGGGCACCATAGAAAAAGAACTTTTATAGACCAAAAGGGAGCATAGGATGGGTTTGGCATAAGTTGGGGATATGGAGGCATATCAGTTCCTCTCAAATAAATAGAAGGCTAAGGAAGTGGTCCTACCCTGTACAGACTGTGGCTTACCCAATTCTCTCTACTCCTGGCCTACCATTTCTTGGGACTCAGGTTCCAGTATTTACATTTGACCCTTAACTCTGGGCTTTTAAATCTGACTGGCTGCCTAGGTGCTAGCCTGAGGGAGGATCTAGTGTGATGAGATGAGCTCAGCTTCACTCCGTAGACAGGTCACTGCAGGACACAGGCATCTCCAAGTTCTTGGGTGGAGGGAGATTCATGTCCTGTTGAAGAATCTGCCATTTCTTCCCTCAGCTGGTTCAGGAGGTCTCTGCTCTCACTAGGGGGCAAGTTACTCAGGAAGTATGGAGGGGCCAATTCCACCAGTCTGACAGAGAGAGTCATAATTAGATGATTTTTCTGTATCTTCTCTTATAATGCAGGTTGTTAAATTTCTCACTGCCCCTTCTACAAACCCTGTCTCCTCAAATCATATGTTACTACAAACAGTAAGATCCCTTTCTCTTTGTAAGGCTCTCTAACTCCCCAGCTGTAATTTTGACCCCAGGAAGAGGAATGGGCAGTGTTGTTTGGGGTGTGGTGTCAGGGAACTCACATTTGTGGTTGAATCTCAGAAACAATGGAGAGGCAGTTGTCTTTGGAAATGGAGAAATTATAGTAAAGCACCCACGGTGGCGGTCTGGCGGGAGCCCTGCGGCTTCGGTAGCAGCAGTTTGGGGAGAGCTGGGCCACATGCTTATGGGTCAGGAGCAGGTAATTTCCAGTCCCATCTGTGTCTCGGGCCACCTCATTGAAAGGCAAAGATATTGAAGGAATAAGTGAGAGTGAAGGGTCAGTAGAAGAAAGAAAAGGAGGTTGAGAAAGAATTAGCAAGGGTGATGAGAATTAGCAGACTGTCATAGCCCTACCTTACGACCATACAGTATGGCATTTCCACAGCCACACATTCCTCAAAGGAGAAGTTTCTCCTGGTTCTAAAGAATCCTTTGAATGGTCACCTGGACCCCAATTTCAGACGTGACACATACCAATCTTTGCTCCCTCTACCTTCTGCTCCTTGTATGACCCTCACCCCAGCTCCTTCCCCTAACCTTAAGGAAGTACCCCGACACCAGTGCTTTCTGGAGGTCTCTGCGATTCTGCTCAGAGCCAAAGGCTGGCTGGGATAAGGGAAGTTCAATCCGTTGCATGAGTTCTAGGAGTTCTCCCCGAAGTTTACGGGCTTGGCACAGTGCTGCCCAATTTAGACCCCGAGCCTGGCACCACGCCTTGTCTGCTCCACCTAGGAGAGGAAAGGGACCATCTGCACCTAAAGTCCTTGAATCCCCCAAGAGAACCCAACCCCTCCTCTTCTTCAGAACAGAGATCTGTCAGCTGGTTGCACACCGCATCCCTCTGGCAAATCTGGGATTCTGTAAGAGGATGCCGAGTGGGCCACTCACTCTGTATAAAGGCTTCATACACCTGTATCAGAGAGCTGTGATCACCATCCACGTGTTCTAGGGCCCGACGCAGGGCAGCTTCTTCTGCGCAGACGGGAGGACGAGTAAACCCAGGGGCAGCTGGAGGCAGAAGAGAGGAAGTTTGTTTTGGAGAATGAGAAAGGATAGCGGTATACCGAAAAGGTAGGACTGTCACTTTGGGAACTTTATTCAAATGACTTCTAGACACTATGCCCTTTATTAGGCATTGAAGATGAATCAGTGTAAAAGTCTCTGCTCTCAAGAAGCACAGAGTCTGGTGGGAGAGACCACCAGATAAGCAAACTTAATAAACTCAGTAGGTGTGGGGGCCAATATTTGAACTTTGAGTAGGAATCAGTGCAGTGGAGAAGGGGCGGGAGGAGTATTCTAGACTATGGGGATGGCATATTTTGAGAACTGCAAGCACCTAGGATTATGAGTGGGGGGAACAGCGGGTGTGGTAGGGTGGCAGGAGGTAAAGCCGGAGAGGTAGGTATGGGCCAGGTTAAGAGAGACCAGATGTGATGTACAAATGAATTTACATTCTGCTTGAAAGGTAAAGAATAGCTGGTAAAGAAGAGTTTTTTAAGTAAGAGAGTCCACGTGTCTGGAAAAAGTTCACATGACTAGTTAGGCCACAAAGGGAATCCACCTGAGCCGTGATGGGGAGCGTTGAAGTCCTGTGGACCATTCCGAGGAAACACCCCTCAGGAGTCAGGTGGGTAAGTCTAAGATTCAGGAGGATGGTGGTGTGCCAGTTCAGACCGTGGGTGTGAACGAACTTGCTTAGAATTCAGGGAGTGAGAAGATGAAAGGGGCAACGATAAAATCCTGAAGTCCAACTTACAGTGGAGGAGCAGAGGACGAAGCAGAGGAAGAGCAGCTCAAGCAAGAGATGAAGGAATGGTCAGAGAGGTAGGATGTAAACCACGAGGGGTGGGTCACAGAAGCTAAACGAGGGGGCAGTTTCAAGGTGAGAGCGGTGGGCATTCTCAAGTGTCAAAAGAAAGTCACGAATAAGGGCTCACAAGCATTCACTGGATTAGGTCTCTAGGAGGTCACTGGTGAGCAGAAGGCTGCATCAGGGTTGTGGTGGGCCTGATGCTGGAATGCAGTGGGCCAGAAATACCCTGGATTGAACAGGATAGAGAGTATTCTGTACAGCTGAGTATAGGGTTGAGGAAGAGGGCTGTAAAGTTTTAGAAATAACAAGTAGAAGATATTTAAGCATGTTAAGGGACAAGACCCAACAGAGAGACAGGAGAGGGCTAAATGATGAAGCCTCGTTCTTTACACAGGGTACAGCTGGGAACTGGAGCATGGGGGAATGGGCAAGCTTCAGGGGCACCAGAACGCCAAACGGAAGGGCTGAAGTGGCCGTGAGAGTCAGAGAGAGAAGATGATTTTACCAGTGAGCATGGCAGCCAGGGTGAGCATCTCGTCCACACAGTCGAATTCGCACGAGGCCAGCAGGGCTTTGGCAAGCTCAGGGGCCAGAGGGAACTCTGACAGGATGACTCCCAGGTCTGACAGGTCCCCATCATCATCCAGCGCTGCCAGATAGTCTAAGTCCTCCAAGGCCTGCATCAGCGCCTCTGGAGCTGGGGATGGCACAAGGCTTACAGGGCAGGGGTTCTCAGAGCCTGGTGGTCGGACAGCAGGACTTGGGCAGGAGGGGTGCTCACCAGGCCGGTCCAGGAAGTGACACTCCCCTGGCTCTGCAATCTGTCTCCTCTTGAGTAGTAAGACCAGGGGGCTCAGATTCTCCTCACACACCCTGGGTTGGGGCAGTGGGGGAGCCTCTAGTTCTAGGAAGGACTTAGGATACAGGCAGAGACAGGATCCTGAGGGGAGAAAGACCTGGGGAAGAAGACCACTGTAGATTCCTCAGGGCTCACGTGCTGGAGACTCTTTTCATGTTGGATCTCACTGAGGGCAAAGGCTCTTACCTGGTGGGACCCCTCCTGCCCGCAGTCGTCTTGCCTCTGCCTGACACTTGCTGATTGGTCTCAACACTTGAGATTCTGCTCGGATCTGAGGATTGTAAACCTGCCACCGCCCCCCAGCCAAGGCCAAGACTGATGAGAGTGGGCTATTTCTTTTTTCGGAGGGGTAGTGGTGGGGTGATTAGATTTATTTATTATTTTTTTAAAATGGATCGATTTACTGGGGATCGAACCTAGGACCTTGTGCATGTTAAGCATGCACTCTACCATTTGAACTATACCCTCCCCACCGAGAGTGGGCTATTTCTGTCTTTAGCCCCCATATGCCCTCATTTCTCTTTCACTCACACTTCGAAGCTCCAGTCCTGAGTCAATGACATGTCGGATGGAAGGGAGGGAGAAGGAGAAGTCAGCCAGCCAGTGAGTGACTATCACCTTCCGGGCACCCAAGTCTGTGTCCTGGTACACTGCCTGCACAGCTTGTCCACGGCCTGGGTGAAGGGGCAGCACCCGTAGTGGGGGCCCTTGGGGAACCAAGGGCCCCACCTCCCTGGACAATGACTCACAGCACAGGGAAATTTCCTGGGGAGACGGGTGGGGCATTAGGGCAGTTCTCACCTTTTGGGGTCACAGACCCCTTTGAAAACCTGACGAAAGCTATGGCCCTTCACTCTGAAAAAATGCACATACTCATAAAGTCGGGGTGCTATAATTTCAGGAGTTCGTTGAACCACAAACCTCTATATTGTATGGAATCAAAAAGAGATTGGTAGACCTCTTTACCATGAAAACCCGGAGTTTTTCCTCAGGACCCCTAAGGAGAGTAAATACCACAACTCCAATGTCCCTACCAAGCATCGCTCCCATTCCTCCCGGAACACCTCCTTTTGCATCCCATTTTTTTACCTCCTCACTGGGCAGGTACACTAGCACATCTCCCGGAGCCTCCTTCCGACACAATTCAAGCACAGCTTGGCAGGCAGCTTCCACTCGGTCAGTAGGGACAGTGTCCCTGTAGACGGGAGTGGGACACCTGCCAGGCTCTCTGGGCACGTGCACAATGGGAGGGTTGCCCCAGAAAGCTTGGAGCTTAG